TGACTTTTTAAAAGCATCATATAAACATCCATCATTGAATAACATAATTCAAAATGAAATAATGGATGAGGACAGGCGTCTTATAAACGAAACTAATGTGAATAATATAAGAGATTTGAGCGATGAATGCAAAGCAAGCAATCTTAAAAAATACTGTGAAGTATATATCGAGAAAAATAAAGCTATCATGGATGCAATTGACACCGCTCAAAAAAAGCAAACACATTTCATAGAATTCACTAATTAGTGAGCTTAGTAAGGAAAAAAAATTAATATTTTCTAGTTGAATAGCTTTTAATTTTTGCTTTTCAAATAATTTTGGTTATATTTGAATTAGTTAAAGTTTACGGAATTGTTACTAAATATTATAACGGATTAAAATGAAATATTGTATAATGTAAAATAGACAAAATACAAAAATTTTTGAGCGCATTTTTTTAGCATTTTTTTAGCATTTTTTTTTTTTATGGTTACGGATCAGCTTTGGGGTGGAATTTATAATAACCAAGCATAAATGCGTTTTAAGAGGTTATGATCCGCGACAAATATTAAATAAAAATGAAGTTTTCACAACATCCTATTATCAAAATTTATTATGTATATGCAATAACTATAAAGTATCAATCTTTTCCTGTATAGAAGTTAGTATATCTTTTCTATAGCTTGCGTTATTAGTAATTAATAAATTCTGGACTTATGATATAAATATAATAAAATCCAACTTTTGAATTACGAAATAAGCAAAAATTTTTCATAAAAAAACAAACAAACTACAGACTATTTTCTAGATCGCGATTCCTTCAATAGAATATTGGAAAATTACGTCATGATGAATGTTCGAATGTAACTCTCAAAGTTTAAATATCGGATTACTCACACTTTCAAATTCTTTAAATAGAAGTCCGAAGAGCTTCATAAAATTAATCAAACCGGAAATAATTTAAAGAACACAATGAAAGTTTTTATATCCTGTTTTATTAAACTCGCGCCAAGCAACTCGAACACTAAAATATAGAAAGTTCGTGTTCGATAATATGATTCTGTTATATCCCGCAGCAGCGAAGGTGTAACATGAGAATGTAAAGTTTGTATTTGCCAGATAGCTTTCCTACCGTTTTTGAAGGTTTTTTTAAACAAATCATTTCCTGACGTTTTATGTATGTTTCAATTCTCTCGACTATATCTACTGGTGAAAGTGAAGTTTTCATTCCCAGAT